TTGTTTTCAGGTTTTTTTCTTTCTTAACCCTCACCAAAAGATACATTTTTATTGATTTTTAGAGAGAGAGGAAGGGAGAGAGAGAGAGAGAGAGAAACATCAATCAGTTGCCCCTCTAATGGGACCCAGCCAGGGATTGAACAAACAACCTAAGCATGTGCCCAGACCAGGAATCAAACCCACAGCCTTTTGAAGTGCAGGACGACACTCCAGCCAACTGAGCAACCTGGCTAAGGCTAGAAGTGGTTTTTTAAAAATGTTCAAATAATTAGGGACTTCCCATATATCTTAGTTCCATTTAAATTTAATTTAATAATGTTGTTTGAATTTGCAATTCTCTAATAACTTATGAGGTTGAAGTGTTTTATCTATAATAAAATGATAATATTATTTATTTATTTATTTATTTATTTATTTATCCATTTATCCTCACCAGAAGATATTTTTTCAGAGAGAGAGAGAGAGAGGGAAACATCTATGTGTCGATTGGTTGCCTCCTGCACATGTTCCTACCAAGGGCCAGGGGACAGAGCCTGCACTTGCCCTTGGCCCTAATTAAACCCAGGACCCTTCAGTCCATGGGCCTGCGCTCTAACCACTGAGGGAACTGGCCAGGGTGATAATATTTTAAAGTAAACTTTATTGGGAGCTTGCTCTGTGGCAGTTGTAAGTATTTAATGTATGTGAGCCATCAGTGTTCACAAGGACCCTTGGAGGGGGCACTTTGTTACCTTTTCTTTCCACATGAGAAATCAGAGAAGCTGGAATTCAAGTCCAGGTGGGATATTTCTGGAGCTTCTGTTCTTCACGATGTCTTGTTAGTGCTTCTTCTTCCTCTAACCATGTTCTTTGCCCATTGAAAAAATTGTATTTGTTTGTTATTTTCTTATGGATTTGTAAAAAATTTCTGTAAATTGAGTATATGTGAATTTCTGGTCACTAAAGGAAAGGAGTGATTATATGATATAAAAGACAATGAAGAATATAAATATGTTTTTGCTTGTCAGCAATAGATATGGCCAATACAATGTGTGCTTTGGATTAGCCATAACATTCTACTTGTGCCTCTCCTCTGATACTTAACATTTACTATATTTTAATAGCTTAATAGTTATTTGTATCTTATGAGAGTAAATTTTCTGAGAGCAGAGGTTCATGAGGTCTAGTTTACCCTTCTGTCTCAGAATATTCTTCCCATGATTTTCACAGGGTAAGAAGTCCCTAAGAATAGAAGGAAGAAGGGAAATAAAGGAGGGAAGGAAGGAGAGGAGGGAGAAAGACAAAATGAATAAAGGCAGCGTGAAAGGGAAATAGCATGATAACATCTAGGCTACGGAGGGAAAGAACAGGAAAAAGTACAGCCTGATGATTTGAGTGTCTTTTGTGGCAACTGAGTACATGAACCTCTTGCTACCTCTACGATCACATCTTCTTTCCTCACTCATACCACTTGGGGAGATTAGTTGGGAAGAAGACTACAGAGTGAGTTAAGAGCCAAGCTAAGAGTCTTCAGCTGTGTCCCAGAGTTGATGGAGAACTTTACAAAGTTTTGAACACAAGGGCAGTGCAGGTGAAGTGGTGCCTTTAAACCATGAATTAATAGTGATGTTGAGGATGAAACAATGGACAGCCCTGAAGCAGGAGGCACAATTTTGGTCTTTTGACACAGACAGGTTTTGTCTTTTTGGCACAGAACTAAGCTCTCTTTCCCTCACATCTAGATATGGCGATGAGACTGGTCTTTACCAATGGCTAATGAACTGATGTGGCCATTTTCAGTCTGAAGAAGTTAAGAGCAGATGTGTCTTCTCATGCTGTTTATCTAAACTCCCACTTGCCAATTCGATGATGTCAGAATACGATGAAGCTACATATTGAAGAGGGGGAGGCTGCCTAAGGGAGAACTTGGGATCCATAAGTCATCACTTGGAGGAGAGCCACCCACCATGAAGTCATCTGTATTGGACTTTACGTGAGTGAGAAATAAAAGTTTATTTAGTCAAATCACTGAGATGTAAATGTTGCTTGTTACAACAGCTAGTGCCAATTTTTCTAATTAAAGTAATTGTGACAGGGACAGTGTGTGGTGGTGATGACAAGGAATGGAATAGAGGCTGATGGATTGGAGAGAAAGACACAAACGGGAGAATCATTACAGAGGAAAAATGGCAGAGAGTCAAGGGTAACTTCAAAGTGCAGACCCAGACCCAGGGAAATTGTCATCAGAAATAGCAATGTCAAAACACAAAAAGAGAGAAAGAGAGAGAAAAAGAGCCCTGCTTTGGGACAAAAAATGCGACATCCTTTAGACATGTTGAGTCTGATATATTATGGTAAATCCAGATGTGATGTAAATGCCTGCAAAAAAAAAAAAAAGTTGCAGAAGTAAATTGTGAGATAGAGAGAAAAGAAAAGGGAGGGAGTAGGGATGAGAGAAAAAGAGAGACATAGGGCAAAACCAGAGGATTTAGGTCTCATAATAGAAAAGGGAACAGTCAAAATGAGTTTAAACTTGTGTAAAGAAAGGCAACAAACCAAGTGAATTTTCTATTTAGTTTGAACAATAGAAATACAAGAAAAAGTCTTATCTTTGCCACTAACTATACATATGACCTTGGACATGTTTTGTTGTTTTTGTTTGTTTGTTTACCTGTTTGAGTTTTGGCTTCCTCATTCGAGGTTGAGCAGGGTTTGAAACAGCTCTTTCGGTCGAACCACCTTGGAGGCTTAGAAGTCCACATGCCTGTGTCCCTTCTCAGACCTGCTATGTCAAGAGTATCCAAGGTGTGGATACAGCCATCGTGGGGCCCTTCCATGTCGGCAATTTCATCCCCTTGGTGGGGAGCTGGGCAGCTTAGTCACAAATTTAACTTAATACAGCTTTTACAAATATAGTGTCTCATTCCCCCTACTTAAAAGTTTTCACCATTGAATTGTGGGCAGGCCTGATTTTTCCAAATCAATCTTTTGGCCAAGAAACATTCTTTTCTGGGGGTGGGGGTGGGGGTAGGGGATGGGTGAAAAAGGTTAAGAGCTTAAGAAGTTCAAATCAGTTGTTACAGAATAGCCATAAAGTACAACACAGGGAATATAGTCAATAATACTCTAATAACTATGTATGGGGCCAGATGGGTATGAGATTTATCGGGATGATCACTTAGTAAGTTACATAATGTCTAATTACTGGACTGTATACCTGAAACTCATATAATATTGTATGTCCACTGTAATTGAAAATAAAAAATAATTTAAATAAAAAAAAAAAGAAACATCTGGAAGCAGAGGCCTCCTTACCAATGCCTCCATCCCAGTGAGGCAAGAAGTTACACTTATTCAGCAACTAACAGAGAAGCTGTGTAGTACTGGTAGTTACAAGTGTGGACTGTGGAGTCAGACTGGGCCCAGATTCCCTCCTGACCCTGGAAGCTGTGAAACGTTGAGGACTTGCTTAACTTCCCTGCACCTTAAGTTTTTTTTATCTGTAAAATGGAACATGGATAGAAGGTAACTTAGAGGGTTGTTATGAGAATCAAATGAATCAATACATACAAAGTGCTTAGAAAGTGCTAGAATATGTCAAGGGCTTCATAAATGCTATTATCATTATCAAGTCAATAGACTCATAACTCCTGGGGACAGGACAAAATAAAGGGTAGGGGGTAATATCTCTATCATGTCTGTAGGTGTGAGAACTGGATTGCTTTTGGGGGGTTTTGGACCCAGATATGGGAGCAAAGTGGCAGATATACCACAAAACTGTAATCCTTCTTGCTGTTATCTCAGAAAGCTAAAAAAACAAAAGCAACACCCTGCTCAGGTAGAGCATTGTCTTGTCAGGGCACATACAAGAGTCAACCAATGAAGGCATAAATAAGTGGAACAACAAATTAATGTTTTTCTTTCTTTCTCCTTTCCTCTCTTTCTCTAAAATAAAATATATATGTATTAAAAGCAGCACATTTTACATGAACTCAGCTGAACAGCCAGCATAGCAGAATTCCAGTGAACTAGGTCCCCAAATTGCCCAAATGTCTGTTTTTTAAAAGCTCCATTTTTAAAAAGCTGCTAGTTAGGAAGTCACTGTAGTTGTAGATCAAGGACATCACTGAATGCTATTTATTTGCTTACTGTAGTGATTCTCAATATCAAACAATTTTGAAATTTCTTGTTTGTTTTTGTATTTCGTGCCTTCTGTGTCCATGAACCCACCCTAACACTAGCTAGCCTTTTCTAATTGTGACATGATAAAAATTACACAAATTAAATTTTATTCTCTATATTGTTTTAGTCTGAGAATTTCTCAGTGCCCCTCAAGATAATTAGGGATACATAAATCACAGTTTTCATAGTGTTCTGGGCAAGGCTTAATGCAAAAATTTGGTTAACCCTGGTAATTGGACAGATAAATCTCTGAGTCCTGTTCTTCAGGAATCTCTGGAAATTGACACCAACTCTAAAGGGGAAAGAAATAAAGTAAAAACGTTGTTTGTTCTCCAGACAAGCTCCCCAGACACTGTCCTTGCTTCTAGTCTCGTATCCATTGCTTGGGTGGAGGACTTCAACCAGCAGGGCAGGGATGAAAAGACACTGAGTGGGGATCCCAACCCGGGTCTTAAGGGAAAACTTGACCATCAGGAGGCACTATTAAGAACATGCCCTTCTATGTCTATAAGATGTTTGTGTAGAACAAGCACCTTGCAATGTTTTTAAAGGGTGGAAATTGAACTCTCAAGTGCAACATGGAACAGATAAGCAGGGAATATTTACAGAGTGACCAAGTGGTGAATTTTCATTACTGACTAATAAACTTCATTTATATCAGGTTATGTGGTTGGGTCTCAATCCAGATAAAGGAGTTTGTTGGGGTGTGTCAGATATGACACAGCCTTTTCAAAGGGATTGGTCTGGAAAGAGATTTCCACACCTTGAAGCCCATAAAAAGGGTAGGAGCTCCTCCAGGCCACCTCATTTGCTCCAGCACCTTCTTCCCTTCAGACAAAATGAAAATCCTTGTGAGTATTTGTTTTTGTTTCTCTATATTCTGGTGGTGACTGCCTGCAGAGGATGTTTGCATTCAATATGTCTTGGATTTCAGGGTTCTTAGACAAGCACTGCACATGCTTCTAAGCTCCTGTGATTGAATTAAGGATGTCTTTGTCAGGAATAGTGTTGAATAATAAGTGGAATATTTATTTGTGTATTGTCTATATTTTGAAATGTTTACTGAAAATTACAAAGAAAATATTTTGGAAATATCTAGCGATTTTTCATTTGGAGGATTTTTAATAATAACTCTTATTATGAGCTTTGGAGGGAATGTAGGCATTTTAGGATAACTGTATTTACTATCTAAAAGAGAAGTGGTAACTTTAAAATAATAACATCAATAATATTAACAATAATAATAATAGCAGAAGTCATTTCCCAAGTGTATACTAGGCCCTACACTAAACATATCACATGACTAATTTCAGCTACTCACTTCAACAACTGTGAGCTGAGTAGTATTACCCCATTCTACAGATGAGAAGAAAAAGACATGTAGAAATGTGATTTTCCCAAGTCAGTGAATTTGAGATTTAGGTTTGAAATTTATCCATCTTAGATTCCAGTTACAAAAGAAATCATGGCAAAACATCCCTGTCATGACCACCCCTACTCCTCCAACTGACCCAGCCCGGACCTCAGTCCCCCACAGTTCCTCACTGCAGTGCTCCATGGGCAGTGGACTGTGCTCTGATCTATATCGGAACTCCTTCCCGGAGTCTCTATCCTTTATTCTCACTTAGAAGTTGAGGGAGAAAGCAAAATGATAAATGTCTCCCTATAAGGTGTTAAAGACTGTCAACTTAAAGAATTCCCTCTCCCAGGAGTCTCTTAAGAGGAGACCTAACTTATGTCCAGACCTGTAACTGTGGTGTATTAATCACAGTGTTGAGTGGCTGGTTATTTGGAGGCAGGGGACCTTTTCTGAGCTCTTTCTAATCATACCACTAAGGTGGTCAGGCCTCCATCCACCTGTTCACATTAATAGAATACATAGGAGTGTTAAAGTTTACTAGAACCAGCGTGGAGTCAGAGAAGATGTGTCCCTAGGCAAGTAAGCACGTGGCATATCTGCATACAGGTCTTTGTTAGACACTCCACCCAAGTCATCAAGAGAGAAATGTTATGGGCAAGATAGAAAGGGCAGTGGAAAAGCCCCACTGACAGTTCTTAAAAATACCTGTTTTCTAGCAGATCCCCTACGGCAGCAGTTTTCAATGGTGCAGTACACTGTGACGTCAGAAGAGACAGCACAAACCCAGGACCAAAATATTAGATTAGACTTTGACGCAACTACAGCAAAATGTCAGAACTGCTTCAGTGTCAGTTTCATGGCCTGTGGCCTAACATTTGTCTGATGGTAACACCAAGGCAGGGGTCGTAGGATAAAGAGGCTCTCCTTGATGTCAGCCTCAAAAGTTAATCATGTCCCCAAGCACCTTATTTTTCCTAGTGTCTCTTGCAAATCCATTGTATCTATTGCCCATGAACCCATTTTCAATCTGTTTCATCTTTTTTTTTTTTTTTTAACCAGAGGTCACAAATTGCCTCTTGCAGTCCTAAGCCAGAACAAACCACAACAGGGTATTCCCATAGTAAAATCAGTCACTTCTCACTGCTCACCAGCCCCAAGTTCTTCCTGGTATAAGAACACATGCCATGTAGAAGGTTTTGATGTTGGAAAGGGCTGGGAACTGGGTGAGTAAAGGTGGAACCTTGTGTCTGGCAAATAGCAGGAACTCAATAAATACCTGTCAAATGAGTGACTGTGTGTGTTTTATGCTTTGGAAATGGACTGTTGACCACCCATGACCAAGCCAGTGTCTTTAGGTGTACATTTTCTGAGGTATTTATGCTTGTCCTGTCCAGTGTCCCCTCACGTTTCTATCTCCAATGATTGCCATGTAGGGAATGGAAATGACTGGTCTATTTTTCAGGTGTTACTTCTGGTGGTGCTGGCCATCTTTGGAACACAATCTCATGGATTCGAGGTGAGTTAATTCGCTATGGACTTTATAGCTTGGAGATGTTGGGAGAGGAAAAGGAAGACACAAGACAATTTGATGGACAGTAGAGAGTCCATATGACTTATTTGGGATAGAATCCCAGAAATAACCAATAATGGAAACAATGAGAGAGATTGATTATTTCTTCCCATTGGCAATAACTTAAAAAATGTAAACCATTGCTTTAAAATGTGGTCTGTCTCATTTCTCCTGTGATGTCATTGTTTCTTCCATATAATATATGGTCAGCTATGAGGAAGAGTTTTGCATTCATATTTTGAAGTGCTTTTGGTCTGGGATCCCAGTGGAGAGGTTTCAGGCTTCAATTTCTTGTTCATAGCAGGTGTAAGGCTCTATTTTGCTGGGAGAGATTCTTTCAAATGTATGTGATTTATGGAAAAACCACTATGTCTTTGTTGTCCATCTAGGTTTATAACATCATCAGCCCAAACAACAATGGTGGCAATATTCAACAGACAGTGACAATCGATAATGAGAAAAATACAGCCATCGTTAACATCCATTCCGGATCATGCTCTTCTACCACGGTTTTTGACTATAAACACGTAAGCAGCGAAGGGATTTTTATATTCTTCAAGACTGGGTTTCTAGAAGGCAGAGAGGCAGGCATTTAGTACATGTTTGACTTCTAAAATCTATCCTGTAATCCCATCGGAATTTCCTTACTTCTGCTTTTCCTTTTAAATAATCAAGCTATCGATTAACAAACAAACAAAGTCATTTCTAAGGAAAAAACATAGCAGGAAACACACACATTTACTTGACCTTTTCAGGTGGAGATTGGAAGTGTGATGATATTGTCTCTCTACAGGTTCAAAAAGCATGACCAAAGCCCAAAGCAATGCCTGGCTCACAAACTCTCAAAAATATTTGTCGAATAAAAAATGAATGAATTAGGGCTTCTCATACATAAAATTGTGCAGAAAAAGAACAATCATGAAACAGTCGCAAATGACCAGAAATCCAGAACAACTACATACATTTAACTATGAGCGTAAGGATATGCAATAAATTGTGTTTCCTCTGCAAGAAAGAAAGTTAGTTAAAACACCAAACTATTTCCAAATTTTAGTTGCTCTTATTAACAGGTCTCAGAAACCTGCTCAGAAAACTTACTCTGTCCTTTATTCATGAATTCATTTACTTGTTTTCTTTTTGTTCCACTGACACTATGAGTCCTCTTTTATCCAGGCACAGAGATGTGCACTGTGGACATAGGTAGGTTGTTGTCCATCTCACTGGATGTCTTCTTTTCTTGTAGAAATATCCTGGCAAGCTTCCTCCCCATTGGTATTGGGAATTCCAGGACACATTTGAAAGCAGAGAGTCTTTGAAAAACTCTGGTTAAAAGGAAGTTGTATTGAACTTGTTTTTAAGCAGATGCCAAGGAAATCTCAAAAGTGTCTCAGTGGCGAGGATTTGGTTTACACTTCTTCTGCTATCATTATGCTTAGTCTCAGTCTATTTTTGAATTTTAGGAACTAGCAATTTGTGAGAATGAAAAATAGGAAGTAGAAGGGTTTATGTTATATACAGTCTTCTAGGCTGTATAATTTTTTGGAACTCTGAAAAGTTCCGCTCTAGAGGAAGATTAGATCCTTTTGGCGCCAATGTCCTCACCCTCCATTGCTCACCCAATTCCAACTTCCTCCAACTCATCCCTACCCAGACAGCTTGGATTAGAGTGGAGAAAAGTTGGAGAGATGATAGAGGAGGGAAGGATAGATGAAACAGGAACCTGTGGGAGGTGAGGGTGGGCAGGGGTATGTTAAGGAGAGTTTCTAGGCCAACACTGTCCAATGGAACTTTCTGCAATGGTGGAAATGTTCTGCATCTGCATTTCCCAAGAGGGAAGCTGCTGGCTACTTGTGGCCATTGAGCCCTTGGGAAGTGTGATAGAGGAAGATCATTTTAAATTGTATTGAATTTAAATTTAAAGTGCTACATGTGGCTAATAACTAACATATTGGGAAGCACAGTTCTAAAGAATATTGTATGTACTCCAAATCAAGGAAGTGGCTGCACAAAGTCAATAGAAAGAGACAGAGAGCTGCTTCTTCTCAACCTTTCAAATTGCAAACTGCAGACCCCTCATTCCAAACATGAAAAATGGGGCACAAATCATGTGCTTTCACAATTTCAGGGACAGAGATGACAAGTGAAAAAATAAAAATGCTATGTCAAAGAAGTTGAATGGATAGGACTGACTGTTAAGCATCAGTCACAGCCACTCACTGGGCTTGCTCAAGGCTTTCTCAAGGTCTGCATGCCCTTCTCACCAAGTTCAGAACCCAGAGAACTGGGAGGGGCAGTAACTGTACTCTTGCTGCCTCAGGGTTACATCGCATCCAGAGTCCTCTCCCGAAGAGCCTGCTTCATCATGAAGATGGATCATAAAGCCATCCCTGCTCTGGACCAACTCAAACGGTACATCTACGAGAGGCAGGTAATTCTGGGGTGCCCTTAAATATTTCCTGTTCTTGAGCCAGGGAATACTGGTGACTACAGAGAAATGATGAGGGTAAGGGATCATAATAATCGTACCTTATCACTCTCCATTTATTAGAATGTTTTCACTTGTATTGTTTTTGACACAGGAGTACATCTCTTAGCTTGATTTCCACCATAGAGCCCCCAGTACAAAAACTTATAGTAAATTCCACTGCTTCTGTAGAAAGGACTGCACAGCTTCTCTTCTCAGAGAAGGGCTCTAGGAAATAGTGAACGGCAAAAAAAGGAGTGGAGTTTTAACATTCAATGACACGAGGTGCAAAGAAACAATATAGTACAGTGAGAATAAGCAAACACTGCATGAAGCTAAAAGTATGGGGATTAATTCTCCCTCCATAGCTTCCCTTTAGTGCCACCTTGGGCACAGGCGATTCTGGGTTTCATTGCCACCACCAGCCAAGTAATATTGGTAATAATGAGGATTCTCTGAAGACCAAGGGTCAGGAAGAGATGAAGTCTTGAGATTCCTGATCACTTTCTATTTAATAATCTGAAAGGGGAAAAGTCACAATTTAGAATGAGGTACACCAGATTACGTCAACTTATTTTTACTCAGTCCCACTCAATTATACTGACCTAGGCTCTGAACACCATGTTCTCGGACAAGTACACCTGGGTCAAGTACAACCCACTGCAGTCTCTGATCACAGACGTGAAATGGTTTTTGTTCGGGTCACCCATCGAGAAGCTCTGCAAACACATCCCCTTGTATAAGGCGGAAGTGGTTGAAAAGCCACGTGAGTATCGATAAATCATTCCTTCACCAAATATTTTCTGAAACCTCTAATGTGCCAACACTCTGCTAGGTGTTGTGTGAAATGCAAATAAGTGTTAAACATGACTCAATCTGGTTTACTTTGGGAATTAGATAAAGACCATGTGTGGAAATTGTGCTAAATGTTAAGAGAGATACAGAAATGAATAAAACTCTGTCCTCAAGGAATACATAATCTGGTGGAAAAGTTGACCAGTTAACACAGAGGATGGAATAAAAAAAGATCCCTGGGTATCAAGGAAAAACTATTGGAGTCTCTAAGGCACCATATATGGTACGTGTGCCGACTGTAGTTAATAACATGGTATTGCACACTTGCAAGGTGCTGGGAGTAATCTTACGCATTCTTACCGCACATGCCAAACAGAGTTACCTGTGTTAACTATGGGAGGTGATGGCTGTGTCATCCTGATCTTGGTAATCATTCTACAATGTGTATGAATATCAAATCATCATGTTGTACACTTAAAATATATAGATATATTTGTCAATTATTCCTCAAAAAAGTTTTTAAAAAGTAATATCTTCAGAATCTAGGATCGAATTGGTCCAAGAAAAAGCAGGCACAGTGCACTGACGGACTAAAAGCCCCGATTCCTCAAGGTGACATGTGTCACTGCAGTCATTACTGGTATTTTTACACAAAGTTTCTAAATATGGAAGAGGCCAAAGTGAAAGAGGCTGGGCCACAGATGTTGAGCTCAACAAAAATTCCCCAGAGTAGTGGAATATAAGTACAAAAGAAAAAAATTAGAGGGCAATACATTTCTACTGCTAGGAAAAGAATTTTAGTTAAGACATTTTTCTGTTGGAAAGTCATTAGTATTTGTAAGTAAAGACTTGGCATTAATGCAGGTCATCAATTGAATGGAGCCAGGCAGCACTTCCAGGAATTTTCCATCTATTCAAGCTAGTATATTACAGTATTATCCTTTGCAGTACAAGCCTAGCTAAAATCTTGGGTAGCATGAAATTACATGTACAACCTCTAGTCAAGGTATTTACTAAGGGCTTTGGTTTGCTGCATTCTAATAATGTATTTCTAATGCTCTTTCTTCAAAAATGTTCCCCTTTTCAGATGACGTTGGTGCTAATGGCTGCGCAAAGGTTGGGCTCCTGGGCATCTTAGGGATTTCCATCTGTGGAGACATTCATGTTTAAGCATTGGCTCACTGGTTGCATCTTTTCAAAGAAATATGCCCATTGGTTTCCACTCAGCAGCCCAATGAAATTCTTTCCCAAAGCCCCAACTGATTTTGCAATTCAGTAGTAAAACATAAATACAACATTTATAAATATCTGAGTGTTTGCTTTTCTTGTAAACAGCAAAAGGGTGTCCAACGATGTTTATGTTAATATATAGAAGGAAAAAGATTGCCAGGATTTCAGGTAAAGTGCATGAAGTGTGAACATTTCCAGCTAAAATGGCTGGGTCACACCACACAGGCTGGCTGGTGGGTACTAGTCTCCATCTTTGCATCTGCTCACTGACCAGATACCCATTTATCTGTCCAACAGCCCAGGGGGAGCAGGGACTCAGGTGTCCCTGTCCTCCACCTAGTGAGGGGACATGGATTTGGGGTACCTTTAGCGAACAACTTGACTGCTCAGATGGAAGAAATTATCCCCTCTGACAAAGCACCCAGCTTTGAGGGCCATTCCCATGCCTTTTAGCTCATCAAAAAAATAGACTCAACCTTAAAAAACACTATCATGACGTACTTTGTCCCAGAGTGAGGAGAGAGGACTGGGGGACAGCCTGCATGAGGGGGAGGGCTGGGGGACAGCCTGGGTGAAAAGCACTGCCCAAAATGAGGCCTGCCAATGAAAAGATTTTATAGAAATAATTGCCAAGATTTAGGTTTTTAGGTTAAACTGTAGGGATGGTTTCCCTACTCCAGGCATAGAGCAGGAGGAGGACAGGAGAAGCAGCAGGTTCCAGGCAGGATAAAGGGCCCTGCTGTTGATCCTTGGGGAACTGAGAGCATGGGTGGGCAGGGAGCTAGAGAATAAACAGTGGGCAGTAGTGGGCATAAGCGCAGACCTGAGGGCCAGGGCCAGCAGGCTCTTCCCTGAGGCTGCAGAGAAGCAGGAGTGATGGGGAGAGTCAGTAGTGCCACCATCGACGCGGAAGGGGCTAGGGAAGGGAACAAGACGTTCCCCCAAAGGGAAGCCTGTCAATGAAAGGCCATTCTCTGAACTAGGAGGCCTTTTCCCCCTACAGTTTCTCTAAGGAACCAGGGTATGCGTTGCAGCAATGGGAAGACTTGACACCGAAGCTTGGGGAGAGATGCACCCTCCTTGTTTCTGTGTTGAGACCAGAAGGCTGTGCTCCTATGAGCCCCTGAGGCCCCCCAACCAGTGGCAGCGATGGCAGTGTCTGAGCAGGGCCCGTCCTCAGCAGAGGGCCAGCGGGTGGTGGGTACGGCTCAGCTGTAGATGCCCAGGCCCCTTCTGCCAGTTCTAAGAGGCAGCATTGGTGATTTGGGCAGAGGCCAATGACAGCAGCTGCCCCAGGAGAGGAAAAAAAGAAAAGGGAATAGAAAATTTTCCTTTTTGGAATATCGATGGTCAAATTCTTAGCCCCTTCTTAGGCCCAGGGAGACTTAAAAATTAGTGCAATGGACTTAGCCAGAAGCTTGTGTTCTTCAGTTACAGGTGGAGGTCACAGTCTGTTATTAATGTTAGTGTGATCATATTTTGTTTTAATTTAAATTAAAAAAAATTTTTTTTTTGTTAATCCTCACATGGGGATATTTTTTCCATTGCTTTTCAGAGAGAGAGGGAGGGAGCAGGATAGAAAGAGAAAGAGAAAAACATTGATGTGAGAGAGACACATCGACTGGTTGCCCCCAGGACATGCCCCCACCAGGAGTGGGGAGCAAAGAGCAACAAAGGTACCTGCCCTTGACCGGGAATTGAACCCATGACCACTGAACCTCACCGGCCAGGGCAGTGTGATCATATTTTAAACAGAAGGCTGGTAGCCTTGAGAAACATGGAATATGTTTGGGTCAGGATGAGGGCACTGGCTTGAGATTCAAATATGGTCAACCTTAATGAGTGCTGGATTAGATGAACCCGAAGAATAAACTTTAACAATGGTTATGAGTAGAGTGGTTCTGTAGACTCAATGTTTGTATTTCCCTTCCAAATTTATGTGTTGAAACCCAATCCCCTATGTGATGGGATTAGTGCCCCATAAAAAATGTCCCCAGAGAGTTCCCTTGGACCTTCCACCACGAGAAGGAACAGAGAGAGGACACAGCGAGAAGATGGCCATCTATGAACCAGAAAGAGAACTCTCACCAGACAGAACTTGCTAGTGCCTTGATACGGGCTTCCCAGCCTTCAGAACTGTGAGAAATAAATGTTTGTTGTTTATAAGCCACCAGTCCATGGAATTTTTGAATTTTGCCCTCCCAATCCTAACTCCTAAAAGACCTAGAGCCTTGTGCATGCATGGAAGATTCTTTATAAAATAATGATTGAACTTGTAACCTGAAGCACCGAAATCTACTTTGACAAGAGGCCTAGAGGACTGGGCTTGCTGTTTCTCAGGACAGAGCTGTTACAGCCCAGTTAATGACAGCCAAGTGTGATGATGCGCACTTGAGGGCAGGAGGGCAGCAGGCCTTGAACCCCGAGTTTTTGGGAGAAGTCCAGCCTGGCTAGGAGAGTATCTGCAGGGATGGTATGTGATGGGTACATGGCGGGTGTTGAAATCTTCCAGAAGTAACAGATGTGTTACAATAGCCAGGTGGAGCCTGAAGGTAATGGGAAATTCAGGAGCAGCTTAAGCTCAGACATCTGAGATGGAACTGGGGGCGAGACTGGCCTAAGAGCAGTCAGTAGGCAGCCGTCCTCACTCCATCACAGAGGGCGCAGGAACAGGGGTCCTGGCAACTGTAACAGGGGCTCAGGAACATGGGATAACACAGGGACTGGTTCTTGGAGCTGGAATGAAGGTGTCTTTTTGTTATTTATTTACCTACTGCCAAAATTCTCAAGGGATTCTTTAAAAGACACCCCAAAGAGAGGCCCTTAGAAATGAGACGTTCTAGGAGAGGCACCTTCTCCTTTACACCTTGCAGGTGTGCAGTTTTGTGGGCTGCATGTGGATGGGAATGCCAGTAACTCGAGAGAAGACAGTGAAGGCAGGGAGCCCTAGACCTTCATCTGCTAGATCAGTGAGGCAAGAAACTTTATTGTTCTAACCCAGAAGGAGAAATGGTACCCAATTTTCCAGATTACAAAGCTGCATCTTGGGTTGAAAGGTAGAAGGTGGAAATAAGAAGCTTTTTGTTGGCAGAGGGGGAGTGCTGACCCCCTATGTGCTCGTGTCAGGCCAGTAGCCCCGTCTAGGTGGGTCCATTCTCTACAGGGCCGACGTGGAGGTTCAGAGCCCAGGGATCTCCCCACAGATGGAGAGCCCCATGAAGGACAGAAGTTGGACTTCAAAACATGAATCAGGGTCAACTGCCAGGGCAGTACCTTTAAGAAGAAAGAGAAGCATTTTAAAAAATGATTACTTAACCGCTTTAAGACCCCCAAGTAGAGTGGATATCTTAAGACTTGCACCTAAACCGGATATGGTGCTCAGGAGAGCTCTCCTAGCAAGAGGCTGTTGGACCAAAATGGGGGCTCTCCCTGTGCTGCAATAATTGGCCCCACATCCCCTCTTTCTATTTCTCTACTGACCTTTAATCATCTTCCTAACCTCTAGCCTCGAAAATTCTTGTTTTCCTGCCGGATCCTCCTGTTATGAAGAAGCCTTGTTCATTGGGTTAATTTATACCAAGATGTAAGTGACAGGCAATGGTCCAATGGGAAAAGGTTACTGACTATAACTGGAATGGCAGGTAGTTTTGAAATCTTATCTGGTAGCTATTCAAGCCAGCCATCCCTGATCCCCATCATATCCCCAGCATGGGTGCCAGCCACTGAGATATCCCTTCCCCGGTGCAGCGTATAACTATTAGGGTCCTGCTTTCCAACCTCAGGGAAGCCCTAGGAAGAGGGGGACTGAGGACCCCAAAGCAATGGACCTGTAATGGTGGGATGCCAGGCACTGTGCAGCTTGGGCAGGTGATGAAGCTTTGGGTCAGGTGAGGGCATCTACCAACTGTCAAATCCCACTGATGCGATGACTGCCCTCAACCTTCTGGTAAAGCTAAGTTAACTCTGTTTCCTGTCCTCAGTGAGCCCTGAGGTCAGGAGATTATCTCTGCCACCAGGGGTGGTATATCCCAGGCCATATTACCTTTATACCTGGTAGCAAAGAAATGGAACAGACCCCAAAATTGTCATTAGAATTTGCCAATGACCTAAAAATTGTATTGCACCCTTTTGTCTCACCAAAGGTCTTTGGTTTCTAGTTAAATTACTAACACACCTTCTTTTCGCTGCTGGGCAAAGTAGGTAGGGACCTCTCGGCACATGTCCTTGATGGACGTCCCATACTGTGCTAAGTTCTTGACCCGGCTGGGTAAAACAGTGTAGGTCAGGCCGCGAGTGGATGGATAATGCTTTAAACCCTGGAAGAGGTGGTGTTTTAAAGTGATGAGACAGCACATGGAGGTGGTGCAGCAAGGGAGAAGAGACAAGAAACGTATTTCAGCACACATGGGTGATTCATTTACAGAAACAGCTTTGTCAGCCTAGACTTGCCCTTGTGTTTTGTCTCTAGCTGCAATGTCTTCTCTGGCCACAAGGTGATGACATTACTCCAGAAAAATCTGTGAGTCTGTGTCTTTGCGATGGGTTTATGCTCCTTTAACCCTTCTTAATGTCTCAACTTTCCAGCCTCCAGTGCTTTTCTCAGCTGTGATGATAATATAGAATAGTTTTAAAATTATTTGTTATTTATATTATGTTTTTACTTGTTATAAACCAGATGAGTGGAATACTTTCTACCTCTCTTTCTATGTGACCCAAAATGCATTTTTTCCCAAGTTCAGTGACTCTCCTGCCATGGTCGTTAATGTTGCTCAAATGATCTGGGCAGGTTACCAAAGCAAATGGCAGTAAGTCTCAATGACTTGCCAAGGACTTTCTGTTGATTTTTTAATTTATTTGACTACCTTTGTCATTTAAGAGGCTGAGGGGTAGAGAGTTTCAGCAGACCTGGGCTTATTTTCATCTAAAGATGATATGTATGTACGTGATGGAGTGTGTGCAGGGGAGGAGAGAAGGAACAGGGATGTGAACACTCTATTAATTTACTCTAATATTTATAGTCAACAATTTATACTCACTAACATGTAGCTCACGTCCTTTTGGAATACATTAAAATTATACCATCACATGGAATTTTTACCGATCAGGTTATTATTTGACTTAAATGGGTCATGGACTGGACTTGGGTTACTTTTTATGATGGTAGGATTTCATGGGCATCAAGCACAAGCATGAACTGAGGTCCCTCTGTGTGTATACCATTGTCCTAGGAGGCTGGGATGCAGAGTTGGAAATCACCAGAATAGAAGGAGACCACAATGAGCCGGTCTCACTTACCTGGTGGTTCAGGGTCTTGTTAATGTCATCCAAAGTTGGAAAGGCAGCTTGGTCCATCTTGGCTAAGACACAAGCCATCTTGCTATACAGCTTAGCCACCAAGAGGTCCTTAAAGCAACACAGCAGAAACACATCATTCATTCAGCCACAATATTACTGGGCACCTACTTGCCCAGTGCTGGCACACAGCTGTTCTTTAGACTGGGATATAGAGCATCCCAGAGAGTGCAGCCCTGGAGGCCAGAATGAAGGGCCAGCAGCAGGACTGGCAAAGCACACAGAGCCCTGCTGCTTCAGAGGGCCTTGTGGCACTGTCCCCTGCTGTAGGCATGGGAAAAAATCCCCCAGGACACTACACACCACTAATGGGCTGGTGGGACTGGAGTCAGGTCCTGTTCTGGCACTTGGTCCTTAGCTGCCTCCATGACCCTCAGCCTCCCCATCTGTAAAGATAAAATGATAGACCTTCCCCCACAGGGTTGTCATGACAATGAGAGGATGAGAGGAGATACTACTGCTCATGAAAGCATCTTACACATTACAGAATGTTCTCGGAATGTACGGGATGATTAGGATTTTTGCATCATACCTTCTAGTCTCAGATTCTAAGCTTGTGTCTGCCACCAACTGGGCCTGTCATTTGGCCTCTTTCGGGTTTGGATCAGAGAAGGGGTTATCTGGCTGTGTCTGACTGAGCCCAAGGACACTTCACCTGCATCTCCCTCCTCCAGCCAGAGTAATCCTGACTTCTTCTGTCCTATGGAATTCTATGGAATATATTGTTTGAGAAAAAGTTTCTATGGCTTAACACAGAGTTGGAAATTAGTAAACTGCATACCTTTAAGGAGGCTTCAGGAGATCTCTCCTTGAGGAAGTCGGGAGCAGGTTAGGTGAAGAGTAAGGGAGAGTGTGTTCGGGGAAGAGAGCATGGTAGTAGGTACAAGTGGGAGCAGAGAGAAAGCCTGCATTTGACGTATCTGTCCTGAGATGCTCAGTGTGGAGGTAGACTGAGGGGCTTCTAACCAGCAGGGGCTGGATGTCACTTCTGGGCCAGAGTGAGGAGTGTGGGCTGTTACTTCCTTTAATCTTCCCAGAGTCCTTTCGGATAGGGAAGGCAGCTATTGATGCTGTTTTGCAGATGAGAAAACCAAGGCACAGAATGGCCGAATGATGTCTCTGTGGTTATACAGTTTTTCTATCTGAGAGCCAGGCCAAAGATACAGTCACTCTTCCATCCTGCATCTTTCTGCAAGGTCTTAACTCTCTAAGGACACTGGATGGCAGGTTAAGTCAAAGTCTTAAAAGTGAAAGTAAATCATTCTTCTCGGTAAATAAGCTGGTTAAAATCTGAGATCAGGACAAAAGAAGTGTTATAGTACATACCAGTCATAAGAAATAGGCATTCTTTAAATGGCTCTCTATTTTCAGACAGTCAGGAGCCATGTGAAGTCAACAGGTCACAGGAACTCAAGCGGATGTGGGATCCCTACAGACTACAGAAGTTCCTCCTACAGTTGCTGGCTCAAAAAAAAAAGGCACACAACTGCAGGAAAGCTAAGTCCCTTACCTAAAGATAGGTATCCCCATTGAGAGCCTAAACCTAGAGAAGGCAAATGTGGACAGTGTCCTCTTCTCTCTGGGAAAGCATAAGGCTAAAATTTGGAGCAGACTAGGCTGTCTTTGGCATTATAATGAATGTGTTCCACATCTTACATTCTTGTAGTCCAAGACTCCATTCCATTCACTCAAAACATTGTTGTCTCGGATGCTGACCATACCTCGGAAGGCATTGACACGGATACTCTGGGTCCCAACAGACCCATCCAGAGGATGGCTGTCACTGATGGTCTGGAGAAAACCAAGCAACAGGGAGAAGAGTTGAAAGTCCAGAGTTTCCGCTCTGTCCATATCTTGCAGGTTTAAAAGGATACTCATAAGAAATCTGAGAAAAGTCACACTGGATTATCACTATGAAATGCTTCTACTTAAGGAAGACCGCACAGGTTGGATCCCTCCACCCTCACTCACCGTCAGGGCCCGAGATGACGTTAGGAGGAAGGCCACAAGGATGAAAGATGCAATCTGAAAGGGAAACCCGTATCAATGCACCTGGCTACCTTAGTCTCGGGTGAGTCCAGATCCTGGAACTCAAAGGGCCCCCAGAGTTGGAGCCTTCTTAAAATGACTTTCACAGATTCTTGTGCCCCTGGGGCCCCAATATGCATCAGAGGAGTGTTCGGTGTGGTTCACATGGGGTGTGCTGGCTACTCAGAAGGCAAAGCTTTATCATTCGCTCAAGAACGTCTTTTGTTTTGCTCTGTATCTACTGTCAAGTCACTGGGTTGAATATTAGGCAACTTCCCAACCACTTATTTGCACATAGGGGAGGCCACCTTAAGCCAAATTGTAAAATAAGTGATCGTTTAGATCCTTACTCTCCCCTTTCTGAACCTTCCTCTCTCCTCCCAACCACTGGGGACTCCTTCCTGCTCCTTTTGGCACCTGCTATCCTTATGCTTTCATTTCCTTTTCTTTCTCTCCCACCATGCCTGAGAATAAAGGATCAGGTGCCACTTATTTATACCTCACTTGGAAATAGGTCTTACTCAAATGTTACTAGTTCTTGAGATTTTTGCAGTGACTCATTTTCTCTTGGCGTGGCCTGCCTTGCCCATTGAGGGGATTTCAGGCATCAGAGAGCAAGTGAAAGAGTGAAAGAGAATTAGTAGGGCAGGAACAAGCCAGGATAAGAAAGTGTGGCAGTAAACCTTTCCCTATTTAAGGGTCACAGCTCAAGTGCACTTACAACATAAGCAAAATTCGACAGGAAACCTCCCTCTCCCCCATCCCCACAACACCCTATGCAATATTCCACATGCCATGACACCACAAAAGTGAGGTTCATCTTCAAAGGATTGTTGTCCTCTATGAACAATAATTATAATGTGGCGAGATCAATCAAGGAGATGCACGTAGCAATAATATTTTATTAAACTATTCTGAGAGTTGGGGCCATATATCAAATACATCTGAAACTTTCCTTTACTGGAAATTTTTAAATAAGATAAATCTAGGAAGAGAGGGCCTTAAAATATGAATATCTACTCAACCCCAAAGATTCTTGACCTCTAAGAAATTAGTTGTTAGTTCTTTGGGGAAATACCCATCATTCAGATAGGTGTTCAAAAACAGAGAGACTTGCCAACTGAGAGGTTATGTGTCGAATTCATATTTAGAAATTCCATTTGGGTTTAATTTGAAGAGTCCATAGGGTAAAAGAACTGCTCCCTGGCAATTTTGGTTCTGAAAACAATCACCTGCATTTGAAATCAGAAAATATACTTACAAGGTGTTTCATATTGCTTCTCTCTCAGACTCCATGCAATTGCACGCATAATAGAATTTTCTATGTCCCATTTATTTTCTAAGTCTGGTTTATATAGTTCTGGACTTTTCAATTATTGCCATAATAAAGGACTCTGGGTAGTTAACTACAATCCAGATACCATTCATGGGGAAACAAGGCAAGTTTATGTAATCACAGTTATCACTTTTCTTTAACTACTTCTAAATATTTTCTCTTTACTGTGCTACCTCTACTGGTTCCAAGGCAAACATGGCATATGAACAAGTCTTTGTGGGATGGCATGCCCATGACCTTAACGACTAAGGTAAGAACTGCAAAAATTAGATCCCACACAACGGTCCTGATACAAAATCAGTGCATTCACCCTTTCAACTTCTCAATTCCAGAGAAGTTCTGTACTAATAGTGGAGGATTGAGAAATACCTTATGAAGCCAAAGGAGACAGATTGGAATTACAAGATTAGATGAAAAGCAATCTGGTTAGCTCTTTATCCAAACCCAAAATCACACGGTTGGTCTTTCAATATCCTCTGCCCACCCACCAAGCTGTCCTCATTTTACCCCTTCAAACATTCACCTCTAGTTGACTTTCTTGATGTTTTGCTTTCACTGTATGGTTTGTCTCTCTCTTGCCAGCTTTCATTTCAGGGCACTTTTTTCCCCTCATAAAGGACCATTTGACCAGCCCTGGAATTCCTGAGACCATGAGACCACTCTTCTGTAATAAGCCAAGCACTAGCTCAGGCCTTTTTATATCTTTTCTTAAACCCCTGAATGGTAGTGACCCAACTACCTGGTTCAAAGTTTAAAAGGGCAGAACCAAACAGAATTTTTTTTTTTTCCTGAGAGAAGATGAAGTATGTGAATGAGCTTAGACACTAAAATGGTCAAAGAGGAAAGACAGACATCTCAGTCCTTACAGTGCTTAATGCAAATTGTCAAGGGAAACTGAAGTAGATGGGCTCTGGGACTCTCCGGTCACCCAAGGCTTGAATAATATCATACCACCATCTCCATTATTGTCAGTACTTGAAAAAAAAAAAACAAAAAAAACACAAACAAACATGCACAGAGCACATATTCAGTAGTTTTTGACTGAATAACTAAAATGTATTAAAAGAATGCCTTTCATTATTTTGCATGTGGATATCCAGTTTTCTCAACACCACTTATTGAAGAGACTATCTTTTCCCTATTGTGTGTTCTTGGAGACCTTGTCAAAAATTAGTTGACCGTGTATATATGTGGGTTATGTCTGAGCTCTCTATTCTGTTTCACGTGACTATGTGCCCGTTTTAATGCCAGTACCATACTGGTTTTGTTACTATAGCTTTGTAATATATTTTAAAATCAGGATGTGTGATGCCTCCAGCTTTGTTTTTCGTTCTCAGGATTGCTTTGGCTATTTGGGTCAAGGACTTAACAATAAATAAAAGGTGACCTAAAGAATGACAGAAAATATTCACTAATATATAAAGAACTTATACAACTCAATAGTAAAAAAGGAAATAACCCAGTTAAACAACCTTTAGCTTTGAGGTCCAGGGAGTTTGTGAGAAGCATTACAGAGCAATTAAATTAGCATCCAGAAGGGACCTTAAAATCCAGTGTGGATTCTCTAATGAGAATGTTGCAGAAATCACCAGGAGAGAACACAGGAAGGACTGTGAGTTGCAGAATATCAAAGGGGAATATGGTTGTTTATATCAGTAAGATTCTTTATCACCGTCATTGTCATGACTTCACTCGCTTCTTATTACCAACTGTGAGGAGAAGCAGCAATTGTTAACTAATTCAATAGACGAAGACAAACAGTCTGTAGACTAACTCTCACTGACCAAGGCCCAAACCTAACTCTGCAGTAACCCCTTCTATCAGTGCAGAGTTAAAATTTGAATCCTGGACTGTGGACTTCAAAGGCTCCAACTACACACATTTCCCCCAATAATGGGCTGCCTTTGGGGCTCATTAACTTTAAGCTTAGATTAGCAGAGCAAGGGTCCGGGGGAACAATGCTCTCCTTTCATGTCCCCATAGTTGTTTGCTTTTCAGATAACCAGGTGGAGCAGCTACTTTTCTTGGAGTTTCTCCCTAGGCAAACAAGGCCCAGAATCATTCAAGGCACAGACAGCCTAGCACCACCCCTCCTATCCCTAAATCCAGGTATAAGGAGCCTGGGGAGCAAAAATAAAGGCAGCTGTGTCTTAGAGGCAGAAGCAGAGATGATCCCAAATGTGTTTCTAATCATGGACCTATCCAAGAAAGAAGGGGCACTCACATAAGAGTCTCACATAAGAGTCTCCATGCAAACAGCGTGGAGACTAGAGTCAGAAAATCAGGCCCCAAGAAATCGGAAAGCCATGAAGTGAGCAAACTGTCGCCTCCAGTTCCCCACTCATGAGCATCTGGTGTGAAAGGGGTGTGTGAATGTCTGGAGCATAGTCATTCAACTTCCTCCCACCCCAAAATATTCTCCCTGTAGGACTAGGCTCTGGGGTCATGCTCTTCAATTTGTTGGGGCCTCTGGTGAGTAATAACAAAATGTTTATATTACCTTACTCATGTAAATGAGTCTATTATTAAAAGAAATTATTATTAGAATGGTGTTTGAGTGCTTATTAAGCCACATACTCAAATCTGCGTTTAGTTCTGCAAAGGCCAATGGCCGTGTGCACAAAGTAATAATCAATATATTCAAACCATGGAGTCTCATTAAGGAATGAGGTTGGGCCAAAACAAAGTTTGGAAAACACCTCCCTTTTGCCCCACATTATCTCACCTGTTTTTCAACCTATTCCACAAACTCTTAAAGTCTTGCTACTACACTTCTCAAAAGTCATCCATCTAAGGGCTTCCACAATTGGGCCCCCATTAACCTTTGCAGCCCTGTCTTTCAGTCCTTCCCGCACTATGTCAAGATGCTAACGGAACCTGGCTCTCCAATGTTCCCCATTTATAGCCCAAGCTTTCATAACCCCAATCCTAGGTTCATGACTGCAGGTTCCTTACCCTACTTCTTTTTCCTAAGCGTTCTTCAAGGACAATTTGCAGTGTCCCACTCCCCAGCCTTCCTTCCTCCCAGCCAATTGTGAGCTCTTCTTTCAAAATATCATAGCTCCCTACTTGTATCTTTTCTTTTTCTATTTATATTCTCCATTTTGTTGTATTTACTTGTATAGTTGTCTGGTCAGGCTATTAAAATTTGCACATTTATGTCCCTAGACTATAAACTTCATAAGGTTAGAGACTGTTTTACTCTCTGCTGTCACTCTAATATCTAATATTTAGAACAGTCCCTGACACAGAGTAGGTACTCGAAAATATATCTGTTAAATGAATGAATGAATGAATGGATTGCATTGATGGTGTATTATCCTCTCTCTCTCTCCTGGGTACTTAGCAGTGTCTGGCACAAGGTAAGTGCACAGGAAATAATTGTTGAATTTAATGGCAAGTCATGAAATCAAGTATTTAATAATAATATGAAGAGGAAGACAATTAAAACTCGAATAGAATATCATGTACAGCAAGGGAAAATGGCCCTCCTTATAAACTCCAGTTAGAGTGCAATTATAAGGTTAGCATTAATACTTTTGCCCCTGGATTTGAGGGTAGGGAGTGAAGAGAAAGGAAAACGAGTCTGCAAAGTTGTTTGTCCTTTATCTTGCATCCTGGAACCTCTGGCAAGAGCCAGACTCCTTTGCCCGGATCTCTGTCCTGCTTGCTGTTTGCTAAACACCCTTTGATTTTCTCTGTAATGTACTTATCACCTGCTGTAAACCAGAAGCTTCCTCATCCTTATTTTACATTTTCTAGTTTTGTCTTGGAATTCAGACTTTTATATCCATCCCTGTAATAGTATTGATCTTTTACTGATCTTTCCAGCTTTGTAGAACTCAGTGGGCATCACAACTGAGGTATCTTTTTTTAATTCACAAAGCTTCGCTTATACCCCTCCATTCTCATATTTCTTCCCTGATCTCTAAGAAAATAAAAAATATAGATCAATAGTCCATCATGTAATTTTGTCTAGAAAGCAACTCTCCTTCTGATATTCTTGTTGAGTTTGGTTTGGTTGTTCTTAATTAGCTGTCCTTTCCCGATTCTGATACACAGTGAGGCTGGACTTTGTCCAGGTGCCAATTGTTTTACCAATGCCTTTGTTCAATTAGGACTCTCCATTTGTTTTCTAAAGCCGCTTTCAAGGTCCACACCCACTCCCCTCTTTCTCTGCCCTTCGGATTTTCTTCTCCCAGCCCCCTTTACCTCCTGCATCTCCTGCATACATCCTGAAACTGGGATCTGGCCTTCTAACACACTCACCGCCCAGCCCCATGCTACTCCTGTTATCTCTTCCCTTTCTGGCTGTTTTCCTGGATGTTCTCTCTGCCTTTTCTTTTGTCCTCTCTGATCCCAGATCCAAATATTTTCTCCAAAGTAGGCACCCCTAAGCCTGCATTTCCTGAGCAGGTACAATCTTCGAACAAACCTTGTCTTGCTGCATCTTATATCAACCCTGAGCTACTTATCGCTATGTCTACTCAACTTGCAATTGCCTGATGGCTCCCACTTCTTCCTGAAGTTCATTCCAGATGAAATGGCATCCAGGATCCAGAGCACTCTATCTTGGTAGGCAGCTGACATTATCTTTTTCAAAGTTAACTTTTACAATAGAGCTTTTCTTAAAACAAGGGGCCTTATCTATGCCCACAATTTGTGGACTATTTTAAAGTAAGCCTCCTGAAATTCCATGTAAGGCTTTATTTGTGGGTACATAAGAAATTTGTTCCCCCCAGGGAGAAGAACCATACCCTTCATCACATTTTTTCAAAGGAGTCTTATCTTAAAGAGCTTAAGAACCACTGCCTCAAAGATTCTCTTCTCCCCACAGGAAATACATATTTATCATTTATTTTTAAATTTATGTTCTGATCTCCTAGTTTAGTTCACTTGGTAGTAAAATCATTTTGGAGGTGGAGATAGTAGAGTTTTACCCATCTTATAGATGTGGAAACTGAGACCCAGAGAAGTAAAGTGAATGTCTAGCCAACAGTCATGTGGCAAATTAGTGACAGATTTGGGGCCTGTGTGCATTGGCTGCTGGCCCCAGGCCCTTTCCACTAGGCTCACATTCTCCTTCCAGGCTCTGCATTTCCCCTTTTGGGGATTTCCTTTCTCCTTAACCCAGGGCCTCTACCAGATCAATAACAGCTCATCGTCCTGCAGATTCCTGGGCCAAAGTCACCATTCATGAAAGGTATTCTTTTAAGACTCTCTAACCTGGGGCCTTGAGTTGGACTTCATAGAAAAACAAACCAAAGAATGCAGAAGGCCAGCTCTCCCTGGAGCAGCAGCTGGGAGCCAGTAACCTGTGACTTCTCCGGGCCTCACTGTGGTCCCTTTTAGTTTTCCTGTGTTGGGCATCCCAGGGGCAAGGCCCCACCAGCACCAGGCCACTCAGCTTATAGCCCAAGATGCAGCTCTAACAGGGGAGGAGGTGGAAAATGGATTTCAACAATATTTTTCTTCTTTTCATTAACTGACCTCTATCCTTTCACTGATAATCTCTTGGAGGAGGAGGGGAAGATCCCTTCTCTGAAAATGAGACATTTTCCTTTTTTGGATTCTAACTGCCTTTAGTCTTCCTACTCAACAGAAGAAGGGGGGGGAGAAAGGTAGGGACTTTTCTGCCCTCATGATACACCTATTATAGCTGTAAGCTTGCTCTGTTGCCATGTGCATTTACTTGAAAAAGAACTGTCAGAGGAATGTAAGGTCAACTGTATTCAAATCAATCTCTATCTCTTCATTCTCTAGAAAATTCTCTGGTTATTGTATACCTTGTTTTGCATTTTTATCTTAAACCTTTCAGAAGACAATATCGAGTGTTGGGAAAAGCGCCAAACCCAAAGCCTGGAACCCAGGGTGTTAGTTTCAGCTTTGTCTGCTGCATTCCACTCTTGCCAGCTACCCTCTGTCCTTCAAAAGATGAAGGTTTGAAATTTGGCTGATGTCTTGGATGGCTGCAGGAAACCCAGTTAATAAGCAATTGGAAACAATTCCATTGGTATCTACTTCCTTTTCATCAATGAACAAGTTAGGCATGGTCCCTCACTTCACGGAGCTGACAGCCTAGAAGGGTATATGGCATTGGACATATTCATCCACTCATTCAATTGGTCATTCATCCAAGAAGTATTTATAATGAGTTCCTACTGGGTGTTACGCAGCATTCTAGGTGTTAGGAATTCATTAGTGAGTTAGATAAAGCTGGGGTTTTTTTTGGGGGGGGGGGTTGTGTGTGTGTTTTTTTAATGACAAAAAGCTCTCAGTTATGGAGGAGATAGAAACTTAGTACATAAACATATTTGTCATCTATCCCTCTCCAATGTCTTCACTTCCTTCCTTACCCAGCTTAAGTCTTATGGTAAATTGTTTTAATCACTACCTTAGATACATCCTCCTAGACCTTAGTCCTCGGAACTGTCCCCTTTTCTGTCCACATTTAGCTCACTTAGTGATTTCATTCACTGTGCTATGGCTTTAAATGTATTTTATATTCTCACAACTCTCAAGTTTATGTGTCCAGCCCAAGGCTCTCTCTTAACTTCCAGACACACATGTCTAATTCTCTACTTGATATTTAATTATCAAAAAAATCAGCATGTTCAAAACTGAACTTCAGTTGTTCCATCCCCCACAAGCCTGCTGCCCACAGTCTTTCTTGTCCAT